CCCGTGGGAGGCGTCAGCGGCGGGCGGGGTCAGGAGTCAGTAAACACACCTGGACTGCTGCTGATCAGCTAATGCTAACACTCCTGTGAGCAGGAAAAGCTCTGCAGCAGCACTTTGTGATGGGGGGGTCACATATAGAACTTATATATTTAATAACTTATATATAATAACTTATACATTTGATAACATATATATAATAACTTAGATATTTAATAACATATATAATAACATATATTTAATAACTAAAGCGTAACGTTAGCTCTATCATAACATTAGCTCTATATCATAACATTAGCTCTATAGCGTAACGCAGTGGTTGTCAATTTCTTTTTAGGGTGACAGAAATTTTTTCACGCCCCCCCCTAAATTTTTATACTATTAAGAACCTGATAATATTTATCTGTACAAACCACTGTATGAGTTGCTAGCACCAGCATTCTGCATACAATCACCTGATTATCAAAATAAATTAATAAAATGAGCTGAGATAACATCTGCAACAACTAAAAACTATTTCCAAGTTCAGTTTATTAACTCAATTTGTAACATTTAAACAAGACTGCTCAGTCTGTGTGATTCTCAAAACAGAGGAAAAAAATGATTCACTGGGATGTGCATTTTTATAGACTTAACACAGTAACATTCAAAACTTTTTTAAACTGTAAACATTGGTCACTTGTCAGCTTCATCAGCTTATTCCTTTTCAAAAAGGTAGATGACTTTTTAACATTTGTTGGGTTTTTTTGCAAAATTTGCAACAATATTACTTATATTTAACGTTTGTCTGTTAGATGTTCTGTGAGTTGTTCTTGGTGGTCGTCTGAAATGTCAAATATACGTCTCTGATCGTGTCATTGGACAGAGGGACAGTATTCAGTGTCTCAGCACTTTCCTCACCTATGATTGTGACCATGTCCAATGCTGCCGGGAGGATTAGCTCCTCCGCTATTGTGTGAGGGTTTTTTTGCACCTTGCGATGTGGTGGGCAACTTTGTACGAGGCTAACGGTGCGTTTTTATTTACTGATGCCACGCTCATAAAATGACCGGCCTGTTGGTGATACGATAATCGAGCTTTCAATGAAAAAAGTCCAGTGGCTTATTGACTGAAGGTCTCCAGGTGCCATCTTGATTTGTTTGGTTTCATGCTGTCATTTCCTACCGTATTCACAGTAAACCCAAAGGCTTCGTCGTATTTCCTGGTTTTATTAGGTCTATACCGGTTACCGTCACTTACTGTTCTTGCCTCTGATGCCTCCTCCATTTTTTTCTTTTTACTCCTGTCAGAAACTTCTCTATCTCTCCTCCTCCATCAGTCACCCCTGCCTGACGTGCCCCCCGACACCTCACCGCACCCCCCCACTATTTGAGAAGTACTGGCGTAACGTAAGCTCTACAGCGTAACGTTAGCTCTATAGTGTAACATTAGCTCTATAGAATTACATTAGCTCTATAGCGTAGCGTTAGCTCTTGCGTAACGTTAGCTCTATAGCGTGATTATAGTAATAATAGTACCTGTAGTAATAATAATATTAATAATAATAACAACAATAATATCAGTGATATTAGCAATGGCAGTCAAGCAGTTATATATATATATATATATATATATATATATATATATATATATATATATAATATATAAATATATGATAAATAATAATATGTACATATATATAATAATAATATATAAATATATGATAAATAATAATATGTACATATATAATAAACCTAAGATGGTGCCACGGGCAGTTGCCTCTGTGTGTTGGTGCGCTTAGTTTTTTCTTGTTTTGTGTGTTAATTCAGTTTTGGGCTGTGATACCCGGAGCTCTTTCACTAGAGAAGAGCTCATGAACATCAGGGGAATAACTCCAGCTGATCTCTTTCCCACTTTTCTTCTTTCTTCCGTCGAATTATTGGACATTGTGGTCAAAGGTGCGCTCACATTTGCTCACGCAGTGAAACGCAGGAGGAGAGGGAAACGTTCTGGTGCGCTTGTGCGTCTCCGCCAGCGCGGACATCGCACACCGTTACCTGGAATATTCATCTCCAATGTGCGCTCACTGTGCAACAAAATGGACGAACTTCAGCTCCTTCTGGGGAAAAACAGTGACTTTTCTTCATCCTCTGTTTTATGCTTCACGGAGACGTGGCTGGGTGGATCGATACCGGACTCTGTGCTTCAGCTGGCAGGCTTCCAACTCCTCAGAGCGGATCATGACTCGGAACTCTCCGGCAAAACAAAGGGTGGAGGTATCTGTTTTTATACCAACAGTAGCTGGTGCAATGATGTAACAGTGATCAAACAGCACTGCTCTTCTACTCTGGAATATTTCATCATAAACTGTAAACCTTTTTACTCCCCCCGTGAGTTTTTTTCATTCATTCTGGTCGGTGTTTACATTCCACCGTAGGCCAACGTGCAGGACGCACAGCGAATGCTTGCCGACTAGATACTGTGTGTGGAGCGGACTAACCCGGACTCCTTACTTAATGTCCTTGGTGACTTTAACAAAGGAAACCTCAGTCACGGACTTCCTAAATACAAACAGTTTATGAAATGCCCGACCAGAGAGAAGAATATACTGGATCACTGTTACACTACAGTCAGCGGAGCTTATCACGCCGTCCCCCACTCCGCACTGGGCCTCTCTGACCACGTCATGGTCCACCTGATTGCTTCATACAGGCAGAAATTAAAACTCTGTAAACCTGTTGTGAGGACATCAAAGCAGTGGACCAGTGAAGCTGTGGAGGATCTCCAGGCGTGTTTGGACTCTACTGACTGGAATGTGTTCAGGACTGCTACTGAAAGTCTGGATGAGTACACAGAGGCTGTGACATCATATATCAGCTTCTGTGAGGACTGCTGTATACTATCACACACCAGGGTGAGTTATAACAACGACAAACCCTGGTTCACAGCCAAACTCAGACAGTTATGGTTGCAGAAGGAGCAAGCATTCAGGAGTGGGGACAGGGACAAGTTTAAGGAGTCTAAGTACAAGTTTAGCAAGGCGGTGAGAGAAGCTAAACAAGAGTACTCTGAGAAACTTCAACACCAGTTCTCAGCCAATGACTCTGGTCTGGAAGGGGCTCAGACAGATAACCAACTATAAGCCCAAAACCCCCCACTCCATCAACAACTTGCGCCTAGCAAATGAGCTGAATGGGTTCTACTGCCGCTTCGACAGACAAAGGAGCAGTCCTGACTCCTTCCCCCATGACACCCCTCAACAGCCCCACCTCACCAGTCCCTCCCCTCCCAGCTCAGCAGGAGCCGGGGCCACTCCACAACTTCACACCTATGTGAGTCCCTCCTCCTCCACCACAGCGACGACTCTCGGCCTACAAGAGAGGGATGTCAACAGGCTCTTTAAGAGGCAGAACCCCCGCAAAGCAGCTGGACCAGATTCTGTCTCTCCGTCCACCCTGGAGAGACTGAGCTGACCAGCTTTCTCCGGTGTTCACGGACATCTTCAACACCTCATTGGAGACATGTCATGTGCCAGCCTGTTTCAAGTCAATTCAATTCAATTTTTCAATTCAATTTTATTTGTATAGCGCCAATTCATAACAGAAGTTATCTCAGGACACTTTTCAAATAGAGCAGGTCTAGACCGAACTCTTTAAACATTAATTACAGAGACCCAACAGTACCACCATGAGCAAGACCTTGGAGACAAGGGCAAGGGAAAAACTGCCTGTTAAAAGGCAGAAACCTAGGACAGATCCTCCGGCTCTAGGTGGGTGGTCGTCTGTCTCGACCAGTTGGGGTGAGAGAGAGAGAGCGAGAGACAAACAGACAGGTGCACAGCAACAACAGTATTGGCAATGGCAATGTAGCGGGACCATGGCAGGAGGCTCCACCAGGATCGACAAGAACCTGCGAGACGAGAAAGCACAAGAACTCCGGGGAAGAAGTGAAGTTAGTAACATGCATTAATGGAACATGAATGAGTGCAGAAAGAGAGAGGAAGGGAGGAGCTCAGTGCACCATGGGAAATCCCCCAATAGTCTAGGCCTATAGCAGCATAACTAAGGGATGGTTCAGGACTTACCTGATCCAGCCCTAACTATAAGCTTTATCAAAGAGGAATGTCTTAAGCCTACTCTTGAATGTGGAGAGGGTGTCTGCCTCCCGAACCACAACTGGAAGCTTGTTCCACAGGAGAGGAGCTTGGTAACTGAAGGCTCTGGCTCCTGTTCTACTTTTAGAGACTATAGGAACCACAAGTAGCCCAGCATTCAGAGAACGTAGTGTTCTAGAGGGGCAATAGGGTACTATGAGCTCTTTAAGATATGAAGGGGCCTGACCATGAAGAGCTTTATAGGTGAGGAGGAGGATTTTAAATTCTATTCTACATTTTACAGGGAGCCAATGCAGAGAAGCTAGTACAGGAGAGATGTGATCTCTTTTTCTAGTTCCTGTCAGTACTCGTGCTACAGCGTTCTGAATTAATTGGAGCGTTTTAATGGACTTATTGGGGCAACCTGATAATAAAGAGTTGCAGTAATCCAGCCTTGAATTAACAAATGCATGGATTAGTTTTTCTGCATCTGTCTGTGATAGTATGTGTCTAATTTTTCTAATATTATGTAAATGAAAGAAGGCAGTCCTAGAGGTCTGCTTTATGTGGGAGTTAAATGACAAATCCTGATCAAAGATAACTCCAAGATTCCTGACAGTGGTGCTAGAGGCCAAGGTAATGCCATCTAGAGTAACTATATCTTTAGACAGTGAGTCTCTAAGGTTTTTGGGGCCAAGAACAAGAATTTCGTTTTTTTCTGAGTTTAACATCAGAAAATTGCAGGTCATCCAGGACTTTATGTCCTTAAGACATGTTTGTAATTTAGATAATTGATTAATTTCATTGGGCTTGATTGATAGATATTACTGCGTATCATCTGCATAACAGTGAAAGTTAATGGAGTGATTCCTAATAATGTTGCCTAAAGGGAGCATATATAAAGTAAACAGTATTGGTCCAAGTACAGAACCTTGTGGAACTCCATGACTTACTGTAGTATTTATTGAAGATTCATCGTTAACATGTACAAACTGCGAGCGATCTGATAAATATGACTTAAACCAGCTTAGTGCGGTTCCTTTAATGCCAATTTGATGCTCAAGTCTCTGTAAAAGAATATTATTGTCAGTGGTGTCAAATGCAGCACTAAGATCTAATAATACAAGTACAGAGACAAGTCCATTGTCAGAAGCAGTCAGAAGGTCATTATTAACTTTAACCAGAGCTGTCTCTGTGCTATGATGAACTCTAAATCCTGACTGAAAATCCTCAAATAAACTATTGTTATGTAGAAAGTCACACAACTCTTTGGCGACTACTTTCTCCAGAATCTTAGAGAGGAAGGGGAGGTTAGAAATCGGTCTATAGTTGGCTAAAACCCCTGGGTCAAGAGTGGACTTTTTAAGAAGGGGTTTAATTACAGCTACTTTAAAGGACTGTGGTATATATCCTGATAATAAAGAAAGATTAATCATATCCAGTAAAGAAGTGCCAATTAAGGGAACAACTTCTTTAAGCAGCCTAGTTGGGATCGGGTCTAATAGACAGGTTGATGGCTTCGATGAAGAAATGATTGAAGTTAACTGATGAAGATCGATAGCAGAAAAACAGTCTAAATATATATCTATATATTCTGATCATTTGGAAGAGCGCCATTTCCTTTCAGATTTCCTAGCTATTTGTTTTAACTGGCGGGTTTGGTGGTTGTACCACGGTGCTAGTCTCCTATGTTTTAATAATTTCCTTTTTATAGGAGCGATAGAGTCTAATGTTGATCGTAGTGAGCCTGTAGCACTATCGACAAGATTAACAATTTCAGAGGGACTAAAGTCGTTATAGGATTCTGTTAAATTCAGACATGGCATTGAATTAAACACTGAAGGAATCTCCTCCTTAAATTTAGCTACAGCACTGTCAGATAGACATCTGCTGTAGGAAGTTTTGCCTAATGGCTTATAATCTAATAATATAAATTCAAAAGTTATTAAATAATGGTCAGATAGGAAAGGATTATGTGGGAAGACTATTAAATGTTCAATATCAATGCCATATGATAAAACAAGGTCAAGAGTGTGATTAAAACAATGAGTTGGTTTATTTACACTCTGACAGAAGCCAATTGAGTCTATTAATGAGATAAATGCATTACTAAGGCTGTCATTGTCAACATCCACATGAATATTAAAATCACCTACAATAATTACTTTATCTGATTTAAGGACTAAACTTGATAGAAACTCTGAGAATTCAGATATAAAATCAGAGTACGGTCCAGGAGCGCGGTACACTATAACAAATAGAACTGGCTGCAGTGTTTTCCAGTTTGGGTGAGAAAGACTAAGAACAAGGCTTTCAAATGAATTATAATTTAGTCATACACCATCATCCCTGTCCCCAAAAAAGCAAGGACCTCAGGACTAAATGACCTGTTGTCCTCACCTCTGTGGTCATGAAGTCTTTTGAGCGCCTTGTGCTTTCCCACCTGAAAGCCATAACGGACTAGACGGTGTTAGATATGCGCATGTGTAAGTGTCCATGGGTGCGTGTGTGCACATAAGCCTGGAGAGTCGCTTCGTCTAGCCTCTCAATCAGTGCCTCAGTTCACATGGTGTCATCGCGATAACACAGCAGGTTGCCATGGAGATGTCCCTGATCGGGTCCTAAACAGAGTCAACTATCACCAGGTGTCCGTGTGGGAAGGGAAGGAGGAATAGGGCAGAGCATCTCACTGCAGCGATCTCCTGGAGGAGTTGTTCCAGCAGCGGCCTTGGCCAACTGAGGGCCGGAATGCAGCTTAGATTATGATTGTTTGGGTTAGGGCGAGTAGTCGCATTTCAATAGACACGACTTACTCTGATTGTTCATTCTGGTCTTCAAATCGATTCTTTCTCCTTTGCAAAGCCGAAAACTTCTCCAAGATGTTATCCATGTTGCGGTTAATGACCACAGTCTGAGCATTAACAGCTCTTTCCAAGATGTTTTCCATGTTGCGGTGTATAACCACCGTCAGTGCGCTGACAGCTCTTCCCAAGGTGTTTTCCATGTTGCGGTTTATACCCAGAGTCTGAGCGCTAACAGCTCTGCTAACTCCATCAATCATGTCGGGCAGCTTCATGGGGCTTTGGACTGCTGACACCGTCTTCCGAATTTTCCGATACACCAGGGCAGTGCCTAATCCAATCAGCAGATAGCCTGCTATCATGGTTCCGAATATGTAGAGATCCTCGATGTCCTCTACGGAAAGAATCGGCAGGCACACGACCCTCCACTTCTCCCAGGAGTCCATCGTGTAACCAGCGGCAAACGTTCCTTCAGGGCAGACAGGTTCCCCCGAACCCGAGCTTCTCGTCGAGAAAATTCTGTCAATTGCGTTGAGAGACCAGTTGACCAATTCCATGATTTAAGTGTGGAGAGCAATACGGGGAGAGGCTCCTAAAAGTTAGAGACAAGACAGGACAAGACTTGAGAAGCAAAGCAGGAAAGATAAGGGAGACGGGAGGGAGAGACAGATGCGTCCGCCTTCGTTGAGAGCAAGGGCAGAAGGATTATACAAAGACGATGATGGTGCACTTCTACTCCGCCATCATCGAATCCATCCTCACCTCTTCCATCACCATCTGGTACGCTACTGCCAAGAACAACAGCGGACTGCAGCGTTTCATTCGTTCCGCTGAGAAGGTGATCGGCTGCAACCTGCCATCCCTACAGGACCTGTACGCCTCTAGGACCCTGAGGCGTGCAGGCAAGATTGTGGCTGACCCCTCCCACCCCAGTCAAAAACTCTTTGAACCTCTCCCCTCTGGTAGGAGGCTGCGGTCCATCAGGACCAAAACCTCTTGCCCCAAAAACAGTTTCTTTCCGTCTGCAGCTGGCCTCATTAACAAGGCCCAGATCCCCCCACTGTCACTGAATGTTATACCCACCCTGTATATATGCATTACATTAATGCACTCCCATCTTCTGTACAGTTTTGTTATCTTTTCTTTTCTTATCTTTCTTATCTTTATTTATCAATATTTTTAAAAAGCACTTTATTCTTGTATGATTTTTGTGTGACTTGTATATTTTTGTGTGATTGTTTTAAGCACCAAGACAAATTCCTTGTCTGTGTAAAAACCTACCTGGCAATAAATCTCATTCTGATTCTGATTCTGATATGTAAATATATAATAAATAAAAATAATATATACATTTATAATAATAATATATAAATATATAATAAATAATATATATATAATATAATAATAAATAATAATAATATAAAAATATATAATAATAAATAATTCGTAATCTTGAGGATGTAATCTGGACTGTTTGATTTTAACCGTTAATGCTCAAAACTGCTGTTTGTACTTATTATCAACAGGATAAGACACACATACACACAGTAACACACAGAGTAACACACACACAGAGTAACACACACACTCTCTGCTGTCTGACTTCAGTCTGTCAGCAACAGCAGGATCTGGCATCTAATCGATGGTGGACGACCTCCGTGTAGGTCAGTGTTTGATGAAGACGCACACACACACACAGTAACACACACACACAAACACACAGTCACACTGTTTAATGTGTTTAAAGCACAATAACAGAGTTTTGTTTAATAAACAGTGAAATCTCTTGTTCACACCAAATGTCACAGGATCATTTCTGATTATATGCTGTCTTTATTCTGTGTCACTGCAGCCGTTTGAGCTCATAATAATCAGATATTTCTGTGATTTAATGTCAATAAACGGATCAATATGATTCTGAAATAACGACATCATGATGTTAATCTGTAAAAAGTCTGAATACAGATTCTGTCGGTCTGCAAGACGACAAGCTAACAACTTTTAAAACGCTTGTTTTCTGAATGGAGTTTGGTTGATCAGGGCTATGCTAACGTTAATCTGACAGTGGTTAGTTTGATTCAACATATAAAACATGATTATTAGAGATTAAAGCAGACAGACACACAGACAGGCAGACAGACAGACAGGTACACAGGCAGACAGACACACAGATAAAGGGGGCAGTTTCCATGAGAGCGTGTATCCTTTGTGTCGAGTGTGACGGTGAGGTGCAGTCTGGGTAATAAATAACTGCAGGACGCCGCCAACCGTCAGTGTCAGGAAGCTGCTGAGAGACCATCTGCTGTGTGTGTGTGTGTGTGTGTGTGTGTGTGTGTGTGTGTACTGTGTGTGTGTGTGACTCAGTGAGTATTTGGAGCATCAACAGTGTTCAGAGAGCAGAAACTCTTCTTTCACAATGTTTACTACAAAATAAAAATGGATCATTAATACGACACATTAAATGTTATTTTATTGTTTTTTATTGATAAAAATTATCAAATAAAAAGATCACAAAGAATCTTGTGGACCCAGACGAGCCCCCATTTATTTTAACATCCACAAATATAAAGATGAACCTGCTCTATCTCCCCCTGGTGGCTGACTGCAGTAAAGACCGTCTTATACCACATACAGACTGTATCACATACAGACTGTACTACATATACACATATAGACTGTACCACATACAGACTGTACCACATATACACATACAGACTGTACCACATACAGACTGTCACATATACACATATAGACTGTACCACATACAGACTGTACCACATATACACATATAGACTGTACCACATATACACATATAGACTGTACCACATACAGACGACCACATATACACATATAGACGTACCACATACAGACGTACCACATATACACAACAGACTGTACCACATACAGACTACCACATACAACGACCACATATACACATACAACTGACCACATACAGACTGTCACATATACACATATAGACTGTACCACATATAGACTGTACCACATATACACATATAGACTGTACCACATATACACATATAGACTGTACCACATACAGACTGTACCACATATACACATACAGACTGTACCACATATACACATATAGACTGTACCACATACAGACTGTACCACATATACACATATAGACTGTACCACATATACACATACAGACTGTACCACATACAGACTACCACATATAGACTGTAGGAGAAATATAACAGATGAGTTTCTGTTGGAAACACACCTTGAACTGGATATAACATTTATAATACTCAGACCCCCCCCCCCCCCATACACACTCCACCATCACTCTGTCTTTGTCTGACACACACACACACACACACTCTCTCACACACACACACACACACACACTCACTGTCTCTCCAGCTGTCGGCCTTCAGAGCCGCTGCCTGCAGAATATTTCAGCTCTGCTGCACCAACATGTTTCCTACAGGACCACTTTACTACACTCACACACCCACACACACACTCACTCACAACTGTTCCTCTCAAGTTACTCGCACAAGTAGTTATTGTTCCTTTATTCTGTGTCACTGTGGCAGTTTGAGCTCATAAAAATCTGATATTTCTGTGATTTAATGTCAAGAAACGGATCAATATGATTCTGAAATAACGACATCATGATGGAGATTCATAAAAAGTCTGAATTCAGATTCTGTCGGTCTGTCTGCAACTTTTTAAAATGCTTGTTTTCTGAATGGAGTTTGGTTGATCGGGGCTATGCTAACTCAGTTCATAGTAAAGTAAAACAGGTGGAATCCGTAACGGACTCCACAGAGGTCTGAACCACTAAGTACACTGAATAAAGCAGTTCCACCTTAAACACACTGAATAAAGCAGTTCCACCTTAACAATCACTGCTTCTCCCACGCTGTTGGACAGACAAAGGACGTCCCGGAGGGGCTGCGAGCCGAGCTGCTGCTAACGTTAGCTCAGCTTGTTTCTCTGATAACTTAAGATCCAGACGTCCGATGACTAAAATCCTTCATCCGGTTCAGATCTAGAGTTAAAAAGCACCAAGATCTAAACAGTGGATGGTAAACAGTCAATGTATGACAGCTTCTGATTATTGATTATTGATCAGCTCCATATAGAACACAGCTCTAGAGTTTATACCCTGTTTAATGAGGAAACGTTACAGGTTATAGATTTAAAGAAGCTGATTGGTTCATCACAGTATCACCTGCTTTGTGTCTCTGCTGCTGATGGAAACGTGTCTGTTGCTGTTCCAGGTTAAAGGTTAAAGGTCACACTGGCTTCAGATCAGGTAATAACTGCTGTCATGTTGTTTTCTGTTGGTGTCTCCAGGTGTTAATGTGCTGGCGGCTCCCAGGTGGCCGGTAGAGAAGGTGAGCCAACTGCAGCTCTCTCTCTCTCACACACACACACACACACACACACACACACACACACACACACACACACACAGGCTGCGTTTCATTAGTCCTTCAACTTGCCCTCGGAGGAATCCCCGCCGCCATCATAAGTGTCGTTCTAATGTCTGTAAACTTTAGTGAACTTGGTGAGATGGACCCTCGGAGGGCTGAGGGAGCGAGTGAACAACAATGGTCACTCCGAGGTGGGTATCACCCACAATGCATTGCAGTTTACGTCATTGCCGCTATAACGCCGACGGTTGCCAATGAGTAGACTCCAAGGGCAAGTGCGTTTCATTTTAAAAAAAGTATGCTGTTACGTCATACCAAGGGCTGAGGGGAAGTGAACGAGGGGAAGTGGAACTTCTAATGAAACGCAGCCACACACACACACACACACACACACACACACACACACACACACACACACACAGTAACACACACACACAGTGGTTAGAGGTGGACAGACAGGGACACCTGCTGGACATCTGGAGCATTACAAACACATCAGTTACCTTCTGATCACGTTATAGATTTTGGTCCTCAGATGATCCAGTGACACTAGTTTAAGTGTAGATTTATTTTATTGATCCCACATTCACTAACTACAGCAGCTCCAGATATAACAGATATAATATTATATATTAATATAAAACACATTCAGTGAAAATCTAAAGAATAGAATAAGAGTTATATGCAGACAGATTTTTATATACAGATGTGATTAATATGAAACATTGCACACTGTCAATATTACAGTTTTTCAGAGTTTCTGTTGATGAAATCCAATCCAATCAAACTTTATTTGTTAAGCACTTTAAAACAACCATAGTTGACCAAAGTGCTGCACAGTAGAATAAATAAGACATCATAAATAAAAGACGTAACAGCTCACATGAGGCGCAAAATAAAACAATAAAATGAAAAGACATAAAACATGAGTAAAAATAATAGCCACGCCATAAAAAGCAATCAAAATAAGAATGAAAGAGTGAAACATGGAGGAAACCTGATCTTATGTTGCCCTGCAGACACATTATTATACATTTATTTCATTAAACATTTATTATGAACATCTGATTATTACTTTTAGTCTCAAGAGTTTTTATATTATATTAAATAAATAAATGGTTTAAGGACATGTTCCATCTGCAGTTTTCATCTTTTTAAAGGAAAGTGTGTCACTGAAGCTGTTTGCAGGAGGTCCTGGGTTCAAATCCTGGACAAGCCCCCAGAGTAACCAAACAAATACGGTTTCACAAAAGATTAAAAGTTTAAACCATTCTGGAGACATATTTCCACTGAATTCAAAGATTCAAAGACTCCTTTGATAAAAACAGTAATTTTACCTCCCAGAACAGTTTCTGCCTCCGTCTGTCAGTCTGTTTGCGTTACTGTGACTTTGGTGTTTAAACACGTTCATCCAGACTAACATTAGTCACTGCAGATCGAGGCAGCAGGCGTCTGGTGGCTTTAAAGACAGCATAGATGAATACAACGGCTTCAGTTCCGAGTGCTGGAAACATTATAGATCTAGCGTACACTGAAACTGATATAGATTTTTAAAATAGGCCTTGTTTTGCTGCTGACTCACAAGTCAGTTTTACCTGCATTTTTCTGTCCGTTTCGTAAATTCTTTCATTTTATGAACAACTTTTCGATAAAAGCTCCTTTTTCTGGGTTTGATTGATTTGAGCAAACGTAAATAAAACATTTAGACAGTTTGTGATTAAAGTCGAAATCCACTTCCTGCCCTCCGTCTGCAGTTTGGCACACAAATGCAGGTTTTCAAAGAGTCTGTCTGTCTCTGTGTTGTAGGACCGTCTGGTGACGGACAGCTCAGCTGCTGCCGAGCAGACCGAAGACGGCGTTGCTGCAGCAAACTTTAAAGTCTCGTCTCCGTTTGAAGACTCGTCAGTCGGCTCCAAACAGCCCGTCACCAAACGTCACAGAAAGCTCCTTCTGAAGAGCAGCGTTGCAGCTTCCAGCGCCCCCGCCGGCCGTCAGGAGCGGCAGCAGCAGCTGGCGAGGACGCAGGAGTCCCGGCGCCGCCTGCTGGCCAGCGTCTGCACCAAATACCAGCCAGGTGTTACCGAGTGGCGTGTCTCTCAGCGGCAGGTGTCCCGGGTTTACGTGGAGGATCGATCCCAGCTGCTGTACTGCGAGGTCCCCAAAGCCGGCTGCTCCAACTGGAAGCGGGTGCTGATGGTGTTAGGCGGCAGCGCCACCTCCACGCAAGACATTCCTCACGACGCAGCACATTACGGCAACCACCTGCGGCGGCTGGAGAGCTATGACCGCGCTGGCATCACAGAGAGACTGCGCTCCTACACCAAGGTGTTGTTCGTCAGGGAGCCCTTCGAGCGGCTTGTGTCTGCGTTTCGGGACAAGTTTGAGAGTCCAAACTCGTACTACCACCCTGTGTTCGGACGCCCGATCATCTCCAGATACCGCGCTAACGCCACACGCACAGCCCTGCGCACCGGCGCTGGCGTCACCTTCAGGGAGTTTGTCCAGTACCTGCTGGATGTGCGGCGGCCGGTGGGGATGGACATCCACTGGGAGCCCATCAGCCAGTTGTGCAACCCTTGCCTCCTCAGGTACAACTTCATCGGGAAGTTCGAGAGCCTGGAGGAAGAAGCCAACTTCCTGTTGCAGACCATTGGGGCACCGAGGAACCTCACCTTCCCCGACTTCAAAGACAGGAACCCGCTGGCGGAGAGGACTTCTTCCACAATCACCCAGAGGTACTTTGCACAGCTGAACTCCACAGAGCGGCAGAAAGCCTTCGACTTCTACTACATGGACTACCTGATGTTCAACTACCCCAAACCCTTCAAAGACCTGCACTGACCACACTCACAGCCCTTCATCACCTCCAATCAAACACTCAGACTGAGGCCCATAATGCACTGCAGCGCTGTCATATTGAACACCTGACAGTGAGTCCTGGGTGTCCACAGTGCTGTTGGTCCCTCCGAGCGACTGAGACAAGTTTGAACTCGTACTACCAACCTTTGTTCGATGCCCGGTCATCTCCAAATACCGCACTCACAGACCTTCATCTCCGTTTCTACTCACCTTCATTTTTCTTTCAGGTGCTCAGTTTGTGATAATGCACTGCAGTGCTGCTGTAGTCCTGGCTGTTTACCCACAATGTAGCTGAAGAACCCTCTGAGCTGCCGGGATGTTTTATATGCTGCACACTGGCTTTAAATATGCATTATAGTCGTCTTCAGAGTGACTTTATCTCACTGCTTTCTTTCTATTTCTGTCATTAACAGACGAGTGAGTCGACTCATCTCAGCAATCAGACATGAAGAAGATCTGAGGCCGTATTACAGAAACTTTATGAAGTTAAAATAAGATCCATCAGATTTATCAGTTCGGTGTCACAGAAGTAAATTAACTAACTTTAATCTGATCTTATCTTAGGTTAGTAAATCACTACAAATGAACCACAATATATGGATACGTCCGCTGCCGTCTTGACTACCTGACTATACTGCAGTCAGCCACCAGGGGGAGATAGAGAGAGAGAGAGAGAGAGAGAGAGAGTCTATACTGCAGTCAGCCACCAGGGGGAGATAGAGAGAGAGAGAGAGAGTCTATACTGCAGTCAGCCACCAGGGGGAGATAGAGAGAGAGAGTGTATACTGCAGTCAGCCACCAGGGGGAGATAGAGAGAGAGAGAGAGTCTATACTGCAGTCAGCCACCAGGGGGAGATAGAGAGAGAGAAAGAGAGAGAGAGAGAGTGGGTTAAGATGGCGACACTGTCTGAGTGGAGTAAGCAAACACTAGAAAACACTGCTGGAAAAGTGAATGTTGTTATGTTACGTTATGATGAATCCTGTATTAGGATAGGACCATTGATGACTGTAGTTACCATGGTTACCAGACCGTTAAGATAGGAGGTTTCTGTAATACGACTGCTGGAGACCAACTCTGATCCACACTTATAATAATAATATATATTATTAATATTCATTACTCTTTTGTTGATGAATAATTTTGTCCTGATGAGGTTTAAAACCTAAATATATTCAGTTTACTGTGATTTAACACAGAGGAACGCAATCAATCCTCCCACAGTGGTAATAAAACTCGATGTATGTATAATAAGAGCCCCGACCCGGAGTCCGAGTCCTGGTTCTGCTATCTGCTCGACGGGATCCGGTTCACATTGATACTAATATATTTAATTTGGGTTTATTTGACTGATGACAGGAAATTAATTTATCTTTGTCCCTCAGAGTCTTATAATACTTTATCTTCATCTTTCTGCCTTCAGTTCCTTCTGACTCATCACTTTATGACTTCTGTGAAGTTTATTTTAAATGAATCTCAGACTGCGTCGACATTAAACCTCCTCACAGACACACAAACAATAAAAATACAGTTTGAATCTGAAACTGAGAGAAAAGTTGAAGCTGTTTGACGCAGTTTGTTTAAAGACTTTAATCTTCATCATGTGGTATGAAACTAAACTGACTGAAAGAAGTGATGAACTGATTTCTGCCTTCCTGAGAGTGACGTCTGTCTGTCAGTACAGATTAATGTACCTCAAAGCCTTAACACTGCCATTTCACCTGATGCATTATGGTTGTTTAATGTCGCTGTGACCACAAATAAACGTGTTAGACTGTTGTTAATAATAACATCTGCTTTTATCCAGTAACTCAACAGGAAGGATTTCCCAAATAAAACTTTTGAACATTAACAACTATTATCTGTGTAAATATACAATGGAGTCATGGTGAGTAGAGACACTGACACTGCTGTTTTTATTCTCTAAGTTGGTGAATTAAGGATTTATTTGGTTTTTGGTTGAGTTTCTGATTGTTGGAAACACTAACAGAGACGGTTTAATGAGTTTTACTCTTTCTGTCAGTTAAAATGAAGCTACGATGATCTGTGAGGTAAAATTGTGCAATTAGTGTCCAATTATTGGACTTCACTAAAACTTATGAAATAAAGTAAATATAGTAATATGACTATTGTTACTATTACATCACATCAAATATACAGTACAGACCTCTGACCTGTATCTACAACACTGACCTATATATCAATAATATCATTATTTAATACCAATCACACAATCAGCAAAATAAAGACAGAAAATAACAATAATTAATGATTAATTAATAAATGAAGGTGATAATATTCAGTGTTGATTTGGTCATTTTGGAGGTTCTAGTTTGTGCTGCTGTTTCTGTTATTTATTCTTCCATCATTGATTTAAACAAGGTGGACAAAATAATAGAAACACCTGTCAACCTGTCAGACAGCAAACAAACCTGGTGCTGGTAATAGTAACTGTAATCTGATTACTGGAACTCAGGTGTAGATGTGTTCACTGTCTGACTTCCTGTGTGTTTCCCCCAGAGATCTTTAAAACAGTTCACTGATATGTAGTTAACTAAAACAGCTGCTCAGTGTAGTTTTTAGTAGTAAAATATGACTGTGTACTAACATCTAGTGGCAGCAGCTGGAACTGCAAATGAGCTCATTAAAGAACAGCTGATGGAGGCAGCGAGATACGATCAAAAGCTCCAGAAAAGAATATTTCATTTCAAAGGTTTCATTTACGTTTTTAAATTGTGTATAAAGTGAAGAAGTATAAACATTGTTAAATGTTATTTCAGCACAGAGCTCTGTGGCTGCTTTTTCACCCATTTCTACCAACTAAAAGTTCAGTAATTAAATAAATGAGTCCTTAGTCTCCTCAGTAGTATGATCGGTGACCAGGTGTGTCACATAAAGTCCACCTGCAGAGTGTTTTTTAACTGGTGTCCCATATTGAGACAATGTCTCGTCAGAGGTCCAATAACTGCAGGACGTTTATAATCAGTTTGTAATCTGATGGCTGTTTAATGTTAATCAAGTGCAGCTTCACTGTTTTTGCTACATTTCGCCCCAAAAGGAAAATTACATGTCACAAAGTCACAATCTGCAGATTCAGGTGGAACATGATGGAAACTAAAGAAAAGGAAATGTAGCTACAACAAAGACTGGAAACAACATCTGACTGAAGGAACCTGGTGGAAGACGACTATCACAGACTATCATAAGACAGGAAGTATGAAACTAGCTTCCCGTCATGCTAACTATATTTACTTAGTGTAAATAAAATATATTTGTTATGTCTTCTCGCGCTAAAGGAACTGGTTACCTGAATAATCGACATTAATCCAACATCGTATGAGCTAAAGGGCAAAATAAAAATGTTTAAGTTATATTAATATTTCAGACTCTGTCTCACATACAGCACTAATCACTAGCATCTGTTCATGAATAAGAACTTTAACGTATGTCGGACTTCACGTCGTAGGATGTTAGAGTGGTCTAACTGTATTGGTTTAATCAATAAATGGTTATCAAAAATATAATTATCAAAAGATAATAGAAATAAACTTTAATATTAAAGATCTTCGGGGCACCACCCTTAAATAAGGGAACGATAACCAATAATCGATTGATCAGTCTCATAAAAATTACACTAAACTATTAATTCAGAAGTCAGATTAATAATTAAATTAATAATCACAACCAAAATCATTATTAATAGCTAAAGTGGGAACTTTGGAGTTCTACATACAAGAGGTTGGTATCACTCACTCTTGTACAAAATTAAATAGGCCAGCATATGTAAACACAAACATTTATTAAAGAGATATAATAAAAGAAACAGAGGAAAATACACAATATACAATCTAACTTAAAGGAACTAAGCTAGAGGAAAAAGGAGTGTGTGTGTGTGTGTGTGTGTGTGCGCGTGCGTCAGAGGTGGGAGTAAGTCACACGTGCAAGTCCCAAGTAATTTTTGTGAGAGTCAAGTCAAGTCATGGCTAAGGTCAAGCAAGTCACAAGTCAAGTCATAGAAATATAATAAGCTGGATGACTCGTCTCGCAGGTTCTTATCGATCCTGGTGGAGCCTCCTGCCATGGTCCTGCTAGATTGCCATTGCCAATACTGTTGTTGCTGTGCACCTGTCTGTCTGTCTGTCTGTCTCTCTCTCTCTCTCTCTCTCTCTCTCTCTCTCTCTCTCACCCCAACTGGTCGAGACAGACGACCACCCACCTAGAGCCGGAGGATCTGTCCTAGGTTTCTGCCTTTTAACAGGCAGTGTTTCCTTGCCCTTGTCTCCAAGGTCTTGCTCATGGTGGTACTGTTGGGTCTCTGTAAATAATGTTATAAAGAGTTCGGTCTAGACCTGCTCTATTTGAAAAGTGTCCTGAGATAACTTCTGTTATGAATTGGCGCTATACAAATAAAATTGAATTGAATTGAATTGATGACAACAATCTTAAAGGCACACTATGCAAGATTTTTACCTTAATATAGCTTTGAAGTCATTTTGATGGTAAACGAACTCGTAGTATAGCAAATCATCCCGATAGCAAAGCTGGAGAGGGACGCCGCTGGCAGAACCAGCAATGCAAGTCTGAAAGGGGGCGTCCCGCCAAATCTCACAAGAATCAGGACTTGTTTTACGGCGTGACGTTACATACATCAGCGACATAAGAAGCAGCCTCAATGGAAGACACTAACAGGCATTCACTCAGACATTACCTGGTCAGTAGACATCTTCGGAGTCTATCTTTGCCTGTTCGATGTCCGACGCTTTCATGCTACTGAACATGTACCGGTATACAGGGGGGAGGGGATCAGGCCGTGAGTGCAGAGACGCAGAGCCGTATATAGAGACGGCTCTGATGAGTGGTATTTACGACAGTTAACGTTAAATACAAGTACTCCGCAGCGACTCTAGGGGTAGCTGTTTGACAAAACCGGAAAACTGCATAGTATGCCTTTAAAGTGCTGGAAGCTCATGTTTTCATTGCATAGTGTTCCATTAAATACATAGGTAACATTGCAATTAAAATATATTTTTAATCAATTAAATTAAATTAAAGATGTTAACATTTGAAAATGTTGTCCATGCTTTTCTACTAAGCTGTCATCTCTAATTTCTCATTAAATATAGAGCCCCTCACTGTTATGTGGACAGATACAGTATGTGGTAAAGTAAAACCATAGACTGTATTAGTCTAAATGAGTGCATAAATAATGTCACTATCTGTCAAACATAAAACTAGAGTTGCAATCCTAACCCCTAGGAAGGGTAGTCTATGTTTATTCACTGTACATTGTACTAGGGCTGCAACTAACGATTATTTTGGTTGTAGACTAATCTATCGATTATTTTTTCGTTTAGTCGTTTTCGTTTAGTAGATGGCATTTATTTTTGCACTACTACTAAAATAGAACAAAACAAAAAGATTATTTCAGAAGCTGAAGTCTGTGTATCATGTTTTATCACAGTGTAATACCTAATACCAATTATTACTGATTTTTTCATTAATTAAATATCTTACAAATTAATTATTAATCCAAATAATAGTGAGTCCAAATCATAGATTACCAACGACAGTGGAGCTTAACTATTTCAGTGTAATATCCAATTCATGACATTACTGATGTATACTGATTTAATATCCTACACATGAATTTATTATTGATATCGTCGCTGTTGGCAGAAACCTTTTATTTGGCTAATATAATTTTTGATTCTACTGGTCACCCTTCAAGTGTTATAAGAGTAGTGTAATTCCCTTGGGGAACAAGCTGTGCGTAAAATGTGTGTGTGTAAGGTGTGAGTGGACGAGCGAGAGTGAGCGAGCGGGCAGGAGCGAGCGAGAGAGAGAGTGTGCATGCTGGGATGCGGGAGCTGCAGGTTAGAAAAGTCTCTGAAACCAAATGTTATGATTTTGGGAACAGCTGCTGTGCCAGCAGCGCCTTCCAGTTCCATCTTCCAGTGCTCCGCTCCGGCCTCTACAACCGCTGCAGTCAGTGATGGTGCGTCACTTGGTTGGATTACAGGTTGCCAGGTTCGCCCACATGCAACAGGAAACATCCGATCCAAAAAAATATATATTTTTGATAATTCACATATTAATAAAGACAGCAATGCCTTGTCGAGTCATTTCATGCAAGTCTAAGTCAAGTCTCAAGTCATGACTAGCAAGTCAAAGTCAAGTCAAGTCTTTCATCACTGTTAATCAGGCAAGTCACAAGTCCTCAATCTGGCGACTTAAGTCTGACTCGAGTCAAGTCACTCGACTCGAGTCCCCCATCTCTGGCGTGCATGCTGGCCATAAAAGGTTTATGGCCTTTGTCCTCTGACCAAATGTTCCAGGGTATGAAACACGTGTTAGTGAGAGACAAAGAGCATGAAGAAGCGCGAGCCTCGTGTGTGTGATAAGGGTTAGACAGAATATGTGTGTGTGTGTGATCGTAGATTAACAGTGCCGTAAAAAGGGAGTTAGTGCGTGCAAAGACAATGTCCGTGTGAGGCATTAAACTAACATCACCTTAGCACTGTCTCAAAGACTGCAGTTACCATAGTAACCTCAGTTAATCAAAGCAACATCACAATAACCACAGTAACCTGAATAAAACACATCTGCAACATTAACAATAATTAAACAGTCCTTGTTTAGTCGTTAACTCTGTTAAGTTGTCTGTCTATGCCCAGTACGTTAGAGTTGCGGGTGAGCTGCGTGGGTCAGCCGGTGGTCCTGTGAGCCAGGCTGATCAGAATTGTGGTTCTGAAGTCCAGTCTATACTGTGTGATGTCCGCTGGCGCAGGTAGCAAGAGGAAAGAGGTTTCGCTCGTTGCTCTGCAGAGCTAACGACTCAGCGTTAACATCGCGTTG